CTTCCTTCCTTCCTTCCTTCCTTCCTTCCTTCCTTCCTTCCTTCCTTTCGTAAAATATTTATTTATTTATTTTATGTATGTGAGTGTGCTGTTGCTGTCTTCAGACACACCAGAAGAGAGCATCAGATCTTATTACAGATCCTTGTGAGCCACCATGTGGTTGCTGGGAATTGAACTCAGGACCTCTGGAAGAGCAGTCAGTGCTGAGTAACTGCTGAGCCATCTCCTCAGCCTCTTCTGTTACTATTTCCATATCACTACTTTGACTCAATGCTAGACCTGGGTACCATGACTTTAAGACTCTGGGTCCCACTCCCTTTACTCTTAGGCTGGTCGTAGGATGGAATGGTTAAGGAAGTGATAGTGGCAACTTGCTCATGCTTTTCATATGCAGTTAGTTTCCCATTCATGATTTCATTAATATAATTTGTAAAAGAAGAGAGGATTTTGTATTTGATAGAGATTGCTGAAGGTGTGAATATGAGTATCTTTTATTCAAGGGAAACAGGGAAAGAAACCCTTGGCTTTGTCTATCCTGTATATATTGTTGTTGGCACGGTGTGAACATTTTATTGTCCTTTGCTTTTTGCAATTTTAAACATCAGACACTTGCCCACACCTCTAGAGACAGAAGCAAGAAGAAGCCACTGCAAAGCTATGTGTTCCGTCTGTTCTGGTAAAAAGATAACTGTATTTCACAGTGCAGCCAGAGTTACAGTTTGAGATAAAATAGAATTTGAGAGTTATTGCTGAATCTTAGTAATCTGTACTATCAGGAAAAACTGGCTTCATATTAAATAAAAAGCTCTCCTAAGGAAGGAGACTGCTTCCGTGTTTCTCTGGTTCTCCTTACCTCCCCCTCCTTCTCCTCACCCCACCCCCCCACCCCCCAGTCCTGCTCAGGGCCAAACCCAGGTCTCACCCAGTAACTCTTTCTTAGTAAGTAGATAGTAATAAGCTACCAATACAGATGCTTTTGGATGCCTTTTCTGTGATAATTATTGCTGTTACAATATATTCTCTGTATGAAGAGGATGGTTGGTGTCAGCCAGAAGTTCTTTGAAAAGAAATTGAATTTGATTCATTTGCTTGTTCATTCTTTCCCTTACTCATTTGGAAACTGTCCGCCTACTGCCTCTTGCTATGCCCAGTGCCAGAGTTACATAAGAGAAGCTGGACAAGGTCTCTGCTCTCTCCCATTTTGCATTCTGTGGATAAAGATGGTATTCATGAGAACAAATGAACAAAGACTCCAGCAGCAGGCCAGGTGGCCTTTTAGGAAGCGAGGTTGTAGAATGCAAAGTTAGTGTCTGGGTGATTAGGGAAGGCTTCTCTGATGTTTGAAATGAGACTTGAAAATTGAGTATTTAAAAAAATCTGGAGACTGGCGATATGGCTTAGCAATTAAGAGCACTGAGTGCTCTTCCAGAGGTCCTGGGTTCAATTCCCAGCAACCACATGGTGGCTCACAACCATCTCTAATGAGATCTGATGCCCTCTTCTGGTGTGTCTGAGGAGGGCGACAGTGTACTCACACACATAAAATAAATAAATCTTTTTTTAAAAAATCCAATTATTTAGATGTAATTCAGCTAGGAAATTTGCATAAAGGATGGAGGAAGAGCCAGCTTAGAGTATTTGAGATGCATCCGAGTGGCCTGCAGGGCTGAGGTGTTACAGAGTGGAGGCTGATGCAGGTGCAGAGGCTGGGGAGGGCCTTATCACACAGGGCTTCACTAACCACAGTGAGATACCTGTGAAGGATGAAGAACAAATAAATTCGAACATAGTTGCTAAAGTCAATGGGAAAAAAAAGAATGTGGGAGGCTTTTCAGTGGAACAAGAAAGAGGTTTTCTGAGTGGAGTAATACAGAGAAGTTCGGGGATTTAGAATACACACGTGCACACACACACACACTCACATGCACACATGCTCACAATGCACACAAATATCACGCAAACACACACACATACATATACAATACACTCATGTATATACTTTCACTCACACACACACTCGTACACACACACACACACACGTGCACACACACATTTAAGACAGGGTCTTTCAGGGTAGCCTTAGCTACCCTGTAACTCATAGAGATCCTCCTGCCTCTGCCAAGTGCTGGAATTGAAGGTTCTTATCTCATTGCTGGGACAAAATGCCTGTTACAACAGCCTGGGAGAAGGGTGTATTCCAGCTCACGGTTTCAGGGAGGGGAGGCATAGTGGTTGGGACTCTGTGTGGTGGTGGTAGCTTGCTTGGTGACCTGTTACATCTGTGCACATCAGGGGATATAAACTCACAAGCCTTGTCCTTACATCCCTCGCCTGCCAGTGTGGCTACATGATCAAAATGTTCTACAACTTCCCAAGTCAGCACTGCAACCTCCCCAGACAGTGGTTTGAGCAAATGAGCATTGGGGAACTTAAGCTTGATATTTAAGCCGCAACAATGAGGGAGGTGGGTTTTCCTTATTTGCTGCTTTGTTTGAGATTAATCTTATTTTTGATTACATGATTGTGCATGTACCTGCATATGAATATGTGCAATTCAGTACAGGTGCCTTTACAGGCCAGAGGCATTGGATCCGCTTGGAGCTGGATCCCGCGTTGGATCCACTTGGAGCTGGATCTCGTGTTGGATCCAGGCAGCTGTGAACCAAAGAATATGGATGCTGGGACCTGAACTCAGGTCCCCAGTAATAGCAATTTGTTCACAGTGTTACTGCATATTATAGAATCCCAAACAATATTGTTATGTCTGCTTTTTTTTAATTCCAGCTAAATTGCTTGCAACTTACTTTAGGATAGACTAGGCTAGTCCCGAACTCATAGAGATCTACCTGCCTCTGACTCCAAAGTGCTGGGATTAAAGGAATGTGTCACCGCTGCCCGACTTTTTACTTTTATTGTTTTACTTTAACACTTTTTTTAAAAAAAAAAAACTTAAAACCATCTTTATGAGATTCATTCCCATGGAAATGTATAGCACAACTTCATCTGCTAAGGCTGTATAGGGTTGTGTTACATGTGTGCAACTTCATTTATTAGTGATTTTTCTGTGGTGGGACTACTGGGGATAGGTAGTGTTCGATGCATCAACACACATATATGTCATATATATACCACACACATATACACACATGCATATCATATATCACACATCTCTCTCTCTCTCTCTCTGTCTGCCTGTCTGTCTATCTATCTATCTATCTATCTATCTATCTATCTATCTATCTATTTATAGCTATTATAAGTGATGGTTATTAGAAACTTTCCGAACATTTGTCTGAGCAGCCAAGTTTAAGCTAGAAGTTCACAAATTTGCTTTGAGAGGACCATAGGGTAAGCTCCTTATTTTTATGAATTAAATCTGGGTAAATGTCTATGGGATTTTCTTTGCTGAAATGTGAATTTTAGTAATGGACAGAGAAGGCTGGGATCCCAAACTTTTATTGTTCATAGCTTATACAAAAATTATCGCTTCAACAATTCCTCAGGCACCAGCGAAAGTAGTCTCGGCTGCCATCTGGCCTTTCAGATTTGGATATGACAACGAAGGCTGGTCCAGTCTAGAGAGGTCTGCTCAACTGCTTAAGCAGACGGGTGAGTCCTGCTGAAACTGGCTCCAGGCTCTGAGAAACCACTGTCGTTTCCTCTATTCTCACCAAGTCCCCGAGTCTTAGGATTGCTGTGTGTGTGCTAAGTTCCTAAAGAGGCTTCACTTTGTGGTCAGCCCAGGTCTATAATTGTGCACCACCGCTGTCCTTTAGAGCAATCAATTTATTGATCCTGAACAGCCTATCCTACTGGGTAGCTCCAGGAGATTCATCTCATGGTTTAGTTGTTAAAGATGTTCCTGCTGGTAGCCCTTGCCATCTGAGGACATACTGCTGGGGACTAAGTAGAAAGAGTTGAATGTAAGGTGAAAATTGTTTTCAGGGGCTGGAGAGATGGCTCAGTGGTTAGGAGCACTAACTGTTCGACCAGGGGACCTAGGATCAATTCCCAATATTCACGAGGCAGCTTACACCTGTTTGTAACTCCATTTACAGGGGAGTTACAAACTCCTGACATCCTCACACAAGGATACATGCAGGCAAAAACACTAATGCACATGAAAAAATAAAAAAAAAAGGAAAAGAAAATTGTTTTTATAAAGCCCCAGGGCCAGTCTTTCTCGTCTCTGGGCCCTTGAGGAGTTTTCTTTTTACGTAGCATCCCGCAGCATGTGGGGATCTAGGTGTGCACACTTCATGGTGAGTGCAGCATGATAGTGAAGGGTTCAAGGTTCTGGTTGCTCTCCAGGTGAAGCACACACCTCCTGAGACGTGTTCCGGGGCCTTTATGAGCACAATGCTTTAGTCCTGATTAGAAGGCTCAGACACACCAGTCCAGAGTCTAAGAAAAGCTGATCAATGCATCTGTATACCAATACCACAGAGCCTTTCGCCTTGGACTCAAATGTCATTGTGTGTTGGAGATGTGGCTTAGTGGGTGGAGTGCTTGCCCACTATGTGCAAAGCCATGGGTTCAATCCTCACCACTGAATAAAGTAGGCATGGTGGTGCATACCTGCAAACCCCAGCACTCTGGGGGTGGAGATAGGACAGAAGTTCAAGGCCATCCTTAGCTACATTAAGAGGCCAGCCTGGGCTACATAAGACTCTGTCTCAAAAACATAAAAAACCAATGTACACTATTTTATTGTTTCTGAACACAAGCTAGGAATTTGTAAATGACATGAAAGTTATTCAAACTTCTGAGGAAAGTGTCAAGACTATTAAAAAAAAGAATGAACCAGATAGTGGTGGCACATGCCTTTAATCCCAGCACTCAGGAGGCAGAGGTAGGTAGATCTCTGAGTTCAAAGCCAGCTTGGTCTACAGAGCAAATTCCAGGACAGCCGGGGCTACACAGAGAAACCCTGTCACAAACAATCAAGCAAAAGAAAACAAAACAAAAATCAAAACAACATTTAAAAAAGTATAAAAAAGTCATGCTTTTCCCCTTTCTTAAAATGTCCTACGCTTTAATTAAATTTTAAGTGCCCAGCACAGATTTGAGCCATATCTTGTGACATATAAGAGTGGTTTGTTTTGGGGTTTATGAGTAAAAGCAAGGGTCAAGAATAACATTCTGCTGGGCATGGTGGTATACATCTGTAGCCCCAGTACTTGGGAGGTAGAAGGAGGAAAATCATGAGTTTGAGGCCAGCCCTGACTACCAAATGAACCCTTGCTCCAATAAAACAAAACAATAACAGTATCCATAAAGTTTTTGCTAACTGTTTTTATATTGTTGTTTACTTATTGGCTGCTTTTTGGTCCCCTTTTCTCCCAAACAGGTGCAGATTTTATCACCATTTTGGAGAGTGATGCTTCTAAGCCCTATATGGGGAACAACGACTTAACCATGTGGCTGGGGGAGAAGTTGGGCTTCTATACAGACTTTGGGCCAAGCACCAGGGATCACACCTGGGGGTGAGTGAAGCTTGGGAATTAATGCCAAGCAGAGACCTGAGGACTGAGCTGTGGCTTGGGCTGGGAAGTTGTCACTGTCCTGTGACTGTCTCAGTGACCCAGTGACAGGGAGGCAGGGAAGTGCTAACACTATGCACAGCCATGAATTTTCACAGTGACTCCAGAGTGTTGGATATTACTGCTTCTTCACATAGATCAGTCCTTCAAGGCTGGGGTGAAGTCTCAATGCTGGGCCTGTTATATATATGTTATATATAAGTTATATATAAGTTATCTGATATTTTCAGGTAACTTATAATATACTATAAAAGACAAGAACACAGTTGGGTTTCCATATTAGCATTTTTTAACTCCTGGATTCAAACAGTTGAAATTGAACAGATTTGAGAAGTCTAGAGTGTTCCAAAATGTGGGGCTAGAAAGATGGCTCGGCAGCTACGGGCGGTTGCTATGCAATCATGAGGACCAGAGTTAAGATCCAACCACACATAGCAAACTGGCATCTGTGTGAATACCAGAACTCCAGTTCTGAGGGATCTGACTCCCTCTTTTGACCTCTGTGAGCACAGATAGGTGCATACTCAACCCCCAATAAATAAATAAAAGTCTTCTGAAAGTAGAACGTTTCAAAAAAATAAGACTTGAGTTTGCCACTCATTATGTACTGTATTGAGTTTGAGCAAATGAAGTACTGGATGGGCCTTAGTTTAGATACCATAAGACAGCCCAGAGATGAGTTAACACACTCAGGGAGACATGTTCTAGAGCGTATGTAAATGTGACATGATTTTACATGGGACAATCATCTGAACATGTGCGCTTTTCTGGGCTTCCTGGAACCAGTCCTCTGCAGAGACTAAAGGACAACTAGAAACATGTTCACAAAGAAATAAACCAGACAGTCTGAGACTGTGATAAGTGCTGTGCGTGGAAAAACAAGCTGGAGAGAGAGAGAGAGAGAGAGAGAGAGAGAGAGAGAGAGAGAGAGAT